CTTTCATAAAGAGCAATGGCACATACATAAGACAGTGATTCTATTCAACAATATTTATGCCTCTGCCACTGAGCGCACAGTACTATGCTAGACATGCAGGTGATTCCAGGGTGAAGAAAGCTTAATCCCTTAACTCATGTTGCTACTGTCTTGCTTTGCCCTGCTCATGAGGATCATGGGATTGTATAGGATTTGAAGTACAGTACAATGGAAATAAAATGCTTTACAAATTCTGAGTAGCATTATTACCAGTGAGTACTTCAAAGGAGGTGGGGGGGCTGTGTGGGAGGTTTGTACTTTCAATGTTTAATTTGAGAGGTTCCTTTATATAAGATTAAATTACAAAAAAGGAATCTGTAGTGCCTTGAGAACAGCCTGGCTAAATTTTTATTTCTCATTTTTAGGGAAGAATTTAATGTTTCTGGTATTGCGGGATGGTACAGGTTATCTTCAGTGTGTCTTGTCGGATGAGTTGGTAAGTGTTTTCTTTTATTTATGTCTGAAAATTAGATTTTTTTCAGCAATTTTCTTTATCGTTTTGGGAATTCTAGAATCTGTATACATTTTTAAACTTTTATTATATCCACAGCAGATAACATGTATCAGAACATCACATTGTATACCATAAACATACACTATTTTTGTTAATTATATCTTAATAAAGCCAGGGGAAATGCTTTTATTACGGACCATTTCCAACCCATAAAAAGTAGGACAGTATGAGGAATCCTCATGTGTCCATCACTCAGCTTCAGTAATTACCAATATTTGGCCAATCCTGGTGTTATGTGGGTTAGTGTCATTTATGCATACGTATGTATGTAATTTGTGTATTTACATATATGTGTGTATAGGTAAATCTTTGTCTTCCACAAAATAGCTGTTCTTTATTAATATTAAAAATCAATGGCCTTCTCCTTATTTTACTAGTATTTGACCAGATAACTTGCTTGTAAATAATCCTTTTAATTTTCTGTATGTTATTTTAATATCAATGTGAATAACTAAATTTGCACTTTGACCTTTCTATAGTGCCAGTGTTACAACGGAGTAGTCTTGTCTACTGAGAGTAGTGTTGCAGTGTATGGAATGCTAAATCTTACCCCAAAGGGCAAGCAGGTGAGTGGATTGAGTTCTTCACTGGGTGAATGAACAAGTGTTTGTTTCTTTGTTTTCCAATGTCTTTGTACTTTTGGTGTTTGGCATATAAATACACAAATGTGAAGCACATGCTAAATTTAGTATGCCTTTAACAGTGAAATATGTGCCGTATACAACTCATATGATATGAAGAATGCAGGGATTTTCAACCTTATAATTATTCCTGAATAAACCTCCCAGCTTATAAAATAGCTACTTTGCTGTGAGTATATCAATAACTTTTCAGCTAGGTGGAAATAAAAAATTAATAACCCATCCAGAAAATTTCAGAGAAGAATAGCAACCTAAATCTGAAACTTTTAAAGTAGAATTTGAAAGCCTCTTTTTAAAAAAAGTTAAATGTAACTCCCATATTCAGAGAGCTGTTTCTTCTTTAGCCAATAGGCGCATAACCTATCCCGGTTATGGTTACTCGTTGGTAATTACACTTCAGGTAACTACTGTGGTTGTATTTGTTGGCTAGGAAAGAAAACAAACAAATGTGACCTATTAACCACAAGAGGGAGCAAACAGAGTCCTCCTAATCAACTAGAAATATTGATAAAAGGTCTCACAGAATTCTGTAAAAGAATCTGTAGTAAGAAGGAATATGTGATTTCAAGTTCACTGAGTTTTCCTTGGAAGTAATGTGATTGCAAAATGGAGTGGTTGTTATGAAGTTACTTGGTATCCAGTGTTAGGCAATAAGATAATTATATATTCTAAGATGTGTGGCTTTTAAAATGAATTGCTTTTAATGGAATTATTAGGGGAATTTGAATTTTTATTGTGTATGTGTTCCATAGATAAACAGCTCTCAGTAAAATCTTTACATTTAAGGAGTTTTTCATTGTGGGTAAATATGTTAATTTAAGTTGGTGGGCAGACAATAGATACACCAAAATGTTAACAGTAGTTAGTAGTTACTCCAGGTTGGGGGATTACAAGTTATTTTCTAGTTTGTGCTTTTCTGATTTTAGAAATGTGTGTGTGTATTTACTCTGAAAGAAATAATAAATGTAAAAATATCAATATAAAATTGAATTACTGGGTCTTTGCTTTTAGAAAGGTAAGGCTAATAATGATGAGGTTTTTAGAAATACCAGCTTACCAAAAATTTTGATGTAAACATTTTCAATACTGTTAATTTTTTATGTCCTTCTCCCTCCTTTTCTTTCTCTCCAACCTACTTTTTAAAAAATTCAGGCTCCAGGGGGCCACGAGCTGAGTTGTGACTTCTGGGAACTGCTTGGGTTGGCCCCTGCTGGAGGCGCTGATAACTTGATCAACGAAGAGTCTGACGTCGACGTCCAGCTCAACAATAGACACATGATGATCCGAGGAGAAAATATGTCCAAAATCCTAAAAGCACGTTCCGTAGTCACCAGGTGCTTCAGAGATCACTTCTTTGATAGGGGGTACTGTGAAGTAAGTGTGGTTTGTCAGCTTTTGCAAAAAATACCTCTTTTGCCATTTTGAAACTTGAATAGCAGCACTCACGCTAGGCCTTTATTTACTCCTCCTTTCTGTTTGAACAGGTGACGCCTCCAACACTAGTGCAAACGCAAGTGGAAGGGGGTGCTACGCTCTTCAAGCTTGACTATTTCGGGGAAGAGGCATTTTTGACTCAGTCCTCTCAGTTGTACCTGGAGACCTGCCTTCCAGCCCTGGGGGATGTCTTTTGTATCACACAGTCATACAGGGCGGAACAGTCTAGAACACGAAGGCACCTGGCTGAGTATGAAACTGTCTTTTTATTTTTATTTAGTTTTAGGAAATATCTTTAGAGATGAAATTTTTGTATAGGTAGATGATATCTTTGTAAAAATTTTTGATCTATTAGGATAATGGAAGAACATGTTAAGAAGTTTTGCCTTCTCAGGCCATAGTTAAGGTCTGTTTTTGCACTTTGCTTTGATCCTTTATGTGCTAAGGAATAAGTAGGACGTCATTACTCAGGGGGCATCAGGGGAGTCCAAAACTAATCTACTGCATTGGGAATTGGTTAGCATTGTTGGAATTTTATTTATGTGACAATTTCCCAGTGTTAAAATCCTTGCTTTTGAAACCAGCATAAGAGAAGAGTGGTTCTGAGCTGGTGTCTTGTTCTTCAGGTACAGTCATGTGGAAGCCGAGTGCCCTTTCCTGACCTTTGAGGATCTCCTGAACCGATTGGAGGACTTGATCTGTGACGTGGTAGATAGAGTCTTGAAGTCTCCTGCAGCAAGTGTAGTGTATGACCTCAACCCGGTAGGTGTAGTGTTTATAGAAACAAAAAGTTACATTTTGGATGTTTTTTGGAAGACAGTGAAGCCTTCACCCAGAGCTTTTGTAGAGTTGACAGTGATATTAGTCACTGTCACTAATTTCATTCTATTTTAACTTATAGAAGAAGAGGTTCATGTGTTTTCCATTTTAGGAATGTCTGCATAGTTTTCTGGTCTGAAAGAATATTTTATAATAATGGTAAATTTTTTTTTTCATGGAAATTTTAGTGTTAGTGGTTTCTTCATATACACCGTATTTTTCCTCTTTACTGTAGAACTTTAAGCCCCCCAAACGGCCTTTCAGACGGATGAACTATTCAGATGCTATTGTGTGGCTAAAAGAACACAATATAAAAAAAGAAGATGGAACTTTCTATGAATTTGGAGAAGTATGTATTTCTCTCTAATCATTGTTTTAAAGGTGGTATTGTGTTCCAGTGGCTTGCTGCTTCTGGCTAATTAACTATTAATGCAAGAGGCATCTGCTTGTCCTCAAATAAATGGTCATAGCAGATTCACTTCCTGGAGTTGTCTGAGGATTCACTGAGTTTACAGATGTAGGGGAGCCTCAGAACAGGGGCCTTTTCTGTAGAGTCCAATAAACGATAGGGAGTTTTTAGCTGCCTTTCACATCTCATCCTTTGCTTCTTCCTCTTCTTTCATGATTGTTCCTTGGCCTCCACTTATGAGCTCTACTCAGTATTCTCTAGGCTCACAGGGATGCTCTAGAAGGTTGTGAAGCCTTGAAATTACATGCAAAATGTTGGTATGTGTGTGTGTGTGTGTGTGTGTGTTATGTTTTTCTGGAGCAGGTATCTTGTGCTTTCAAAGGAGATTCATTCCCCCCAAAATAGTGATTTAAAACTCCTTCACATGGAAGGCAATTCAGAGAAGAAGATAGCTGCTGGTTAAAATGCAAAACCGAGAGAGAGAAGGCCTTGGTGGGGAGGGTGGCCTAGTGCCCCAGATAAACTTAGCGTTTCATTTTTTGCCTGAGAAACACCCAGCATGCATTGGGGGTACAAATTTTCAACACCATTCCAGGCCCTCTTTCCTGTGCTTTTAACCACTCTTTACATGATATTTGCCAATCTAATTATTTTACAGGTGAAATATGAGTAGCTGCTGCTAACTAGAGTTTTGTTTTGGTTCTTAGAAGGCATTTATAGAGACAAGAAACAATATACTACTAGGACTATATAAAGCACTCATTGTTTTATGATTCAGTTTATGATGTATAATATAATACAATTTTGTACTGCAAACTTAATACTATTAGTATACGTAATTCTTAGGTAGTGTGATTGAGTAGAAAGAACACGAGATGTGGAGTCAGAAGCACCCCCTGGCCCTGGCCAAGTGGGCTTAGCTGCCCCCTCTGTCCTTCCCTGCTGTATAACTGAAGACCAGTGACCCCGCTCTCTGGTTCCTTTTTTTTTGAGACAGAGTCTCACTCTTTTGTCCAGGCTAGAGTGAGTGCCATGGCGTCATCCTAGCTCACAGCAACCTCAAACTCCTGGGCTCAAGCGATCCTTCTGCCTCAGCCTCCTGAGTAGCTGGGACTACAGGCATGCACCACCATGCCCGGCTAATTTCTTTATATATTTTTAGTTGTCCAATTAATTTCTTTCTATCTTTAGTAGGGACGGGGTCTCGCTCTTGCTCAGGCTGGTTTCGAACTCCTGAGCTCAAACAATCCGCCCGCCTCGGCCTCCCAGAGAGCTAGGATTACAGGCGTGAGCCACCGCGCCCGGTCATCTCGTTCCTTATCTCTACAGGGTCCATGGCCCAGGGAGCCCTCAGTGCCTGTCAGCATTTACTGTATGTTGCTATCAGCCTATACATACGAGGACACTAGAGTAGATAAATGGCCTCCATACTTTTCGAGTTGTGCAGTAAGACCCCACTTCCCTAGTTACATCTTACACAGAAGCCCAGTATGCAAAGCAGATACAAGCTAAGGGCCCAGAGCTTGGAAACAGGTGTGTGCTGTGCGATTGCTGCGCTCCGTTTCTGTTCTTACATCAAGCAAATCAATGAGTCTTCTGTTCTCTCAATCAGTTTTTACTGGAACAAGAGTTTTCAGTTTTAACTTGAGTTTATGTGCGGTACTGAAGGATGTTCTGAGAGAGGAACGGATTAACTTGATCTATCATCATCGAACATTTCTTGGCTAACTATTCCAGGTGTGGTGACACTTACAAATTTGACATTGGTTATTTGTCTTATGCTTGTGCCTTACTATCATTAAAGGCATGACTGATTGATTATAACAGGAAGGAAGCTCAGATAACAGAGTTTAAAGATTAGTGTCACTCATAACGTACTCTGTGTGTGGATCAATGATGTTCTGCAACGTCATTCACTGATCACTTGTGCCTTAGGGAACTAAATGGACGACGTTCACTTCAGAACTAAACAAAACAGGCCACTAAAAAAAACAGCTGTGTCTAGTCACAGCTTGGGCTTTGCTTTTGTTTCCCTTTGTGTTTTTTTCGTTTTCATTCCTCAAGCAGCATGGTGGTTAAGATACACTATAAAAGGAGGTAGATTTTTTTTACAGCTCGTTTAATAACTGTGAGTTTTACAAATATAGTGATTTCTTTGTGAAAGAAATTGTTCCTTACACAAGTGAGTATGGGTTAAGGGTTGGTGTGTGCTCTACTATGTTGAATTAACGAAAGGAAGAGCTGGTACGGGTGAAAGAGCCGCTGCTGTCTTGTTGCGTTTGGAGCTGCAAATGTTAATGAAGTCTTGTTTAACCTCAGGATATCCCAGAAGCTCCTGAGAGACTGATGACAGACACCATTAATGAACCCATCTTGCTGTGTCGATTTCCTGTGGAGATCAAGTCCTTCTATATGCAGCGATGTCCTGAGGATTCCCGTCTTACCGAATCTGTCAGTTTGTGATTCACAGAGCATTAGTCATTTTGCTTTTCAAGGGGGTGGGGAGTATCATCCGGAATAAGATACAGCTCATGGCAAATATTATATTTCTAGAATGACAATATTTTAAAAAGTGGCTTTTTTCCTCCTCTGATTAGGGTTAACATGCTTTGTTAAATTAGAGAATCTAAATAGTATTTGAATTTTGCATGATCACAGTGCCTCCTTTAGCCATCAGAGCTTAATTGTAATTTTCATTTAAGCTCCAGGGCAGTGTCATGTCTGACAGCCTGGTACTAACCATGCGTTTTATTTTTGCTTGTACTTAAAGGTTGACGTCTTGATGCCCAATGTTGGTGAGATTGTGGGAGGCTCAATGCGTATCTGGGACAGTGAAGAAATACTGGCAGGTTATAAAAGGGAAGGGATTGACCCCACTCCCTACTACTGGTATACAGATCAGGTAAAAATAAGTCTTAAACATTCTTTAAAATTTTTTCATCACAATAGTTCTGTGTACATTGAAATTTTTATAAGGAGAGAATTCAGGGTAGTACTTTGGTGTTTGGGTGAGCTGTTTTCAGGTTCCTGGTTATAATAATGTGGCAGGCATGTGACTATTACCAGTTTTCTCTTGACCAAGTTACATGTCAATTTCATTTGAAAACCTGCTTAACAGCTGGCCTGGCTCATTGCATCTGAGTTTTAATAAAATCTGTCATTAGATCCCACCAGTATCTAGTATTATCCTTCCTTTTCCCCTAGTAAAGAGACACTAACTCAGTGTAAGAGTCTGAAATCTCTTCTTTCCAGAGTGGTACTTAATCCTTGGTTTATTTTTCATACCACATTATTCCTTTACACGTGGTTCATGAAGGCATATAGATTAAGGATTGAATTCTTAACCACAGTGAGCCAACTCTTCTCACCATGGAAAATTTTAACCATTTTAGATGAAATTTTAAACTAAACATTGACTTTTCTCTCTCTTTTCTTTAAACAGAGAAAATATGGTACCTGTCCTCATGGAGGATTTGGCTTGGGTCTGGAACGGTTCTTAACTTGGATCCTGAATAGATACCACATCCGAGATGTGTGCTTATACCCCCGGTTTGTCCAGCGCTGCACGCCATAACTGAGTCCCCCTGAAGCATGAAGGAAAAAATATGGTTCATGAAAGGGATAGGCTGCCTCTTTAAAAAAAAACAAAAAGCCAGAATCTTCCCTTTTTGTTCCATTGGTGTATAACTGTTTCTATTCTCTATGTTTTTTATTCCTTCTACCATAAAAAGTAGCCCAGATTACTTGAACATCAAGTGATGTTGATATTGTCATTTTAAGAAAAATATCCATTACAAAGTTTGGGGGAAATACATGGCAAGTAACTCTATAGTTGAGGATACAGATCAGCTTTTTATCCAGTTATAGGTCATAATTTTGGGGTTATATACATAATTAAACAGTTTTAAATTATGGTCTAAGACATTCCAGTAACTTAATTTTTCTGTCTTTTTAAGTGTAACTGGAATTCTCTAATTTATTTTATTGCATCATTGAGTTAAAACAAACATCTTGGGTGGAAATTGGCAATATGGTGTGAAAATCTGCTGGTAGTAGAACAGGGTATAATTCAGCAGTAGATACTAGAATCAAATGAATGTGCAAGTCTTGCGCATCAGTTATTAACCTTTTCTGAATCTGCATAGCTACTTATAATTCTGAGGCATACAAATTGATACGGAAGGATTTGTAAGAATGGAATTTCCTTAATATGAAATAAGAGCATAATTTGAGGAGATACTTAAATGATTCACAGCATCCCTCTTAGCATTAGTTTAAGCTAAAGAGGCAGACTGATCTTCCCTTTCCTGGTAATTCCTAAGTAATTAAGAATAAATAAGTTCAAAAACAATTTGCTGCTAGCATCTTAATAACAACTGTAAGTGGCTGTTTGAGTTGCCCCTGCCATGTCCTTAGATCTAATCTGTGCTACCTTATTAACTCACAGCAGGCTTCTTGAATGGCTTCATTTCAGATTTAGTTAATTTCTCCCCCAAATGCATGTCATGTATTCTCAGTAGGCTGTATTCCCAGCAATCAATAAATGAACACACGTAAAAACTCTTTGCTGGCTTAATTTTCTTAGAGCTAAACATCTCTGTCTCACATTAATTAGTTCACGCCTTTTGCATTTTTTTTATCTTTTTAGGATGTATATATGTGAAGTTTAGATATTGCCCCAATTTAGTAGGTATTACTAAAGTTATATGGTAATGAAAAGGAATGGTCTTTTAACTAGGTATGTCGGTCCTAGTTACATTTTTAAAAAATTTTTTTGTGTTATTTTTGGACACATCAGATTTTATCCTATGTTGCAATTAAATGAAATGACAGATGGAAACGAGGCATTCGTAGTCTGTTTGGCCTGTATCTTTAAATGAAAAATACTCGGAAGAGTGTGAATGAGCTCCAAATGTCTTCAACTAGGCAGTTCATTCTATCAGAATTCAAGTGAAGAGGTTAGGCTCAATTAGCCAAATTTTTTTTTTTTTTGAAATGGGGTCCCACATTGTGGTCCAGGCTGGAGTGCAGTGGTGTGATCACAGCTCACTGCCACCTCCAACTCCTGGACTCAAGTGATCTTCCCACCTCAGCCTCCCAAAGTGCTGGGATTACAGGTGTGAGCTACTGCACCCGGCCTAAATTTTAATTGTGTAAATGGGTTGAGAGTTTTAAAATACTAAAGGAGAGAAAGGTTAAGAGAGTCAAGGTCGTGGTGACCTCAGGCCAAGAAACTGAGCATGGTGGGGAGCAAATCTGCACGCGGACTTTATTCCTTTCACTGTGTGTTTGTTACCCTAAACCAGGTGTCACAAATGTCATCCCACATTCCCACGTGCCAAAGACCAGATCACAGACACCCCTGGATCTGAGTTCCTGCTCTCTCAGGCCTGTCCTCTCAGTGAACTCCCTTCTCATGGCTCTTTCCTCCCTGAAACCTGTTGATTTTTCCACCAAAAACGCCCTTCACCTTTGGCACTTGTGTAACAGACCTGCTGAAAGTTTTGGAGACAAGCAGGAGGCTAATTCAAATTACTTAAATATCAACTTGCCCTCTTCTTAAATGTCCTTCAGCCGTTTCTAGCAACCCAATTTTCCACCTTGTTCAGCTCCCTTCCACCTCGCTGCTTCTAGCGATTCCTAAAAATGTCGTCTTTAATATACAGAGTAGTTCAACTCCATGAGGAGCAACCTTGACTACACGTTGAGATCAGCTGGGGACCTTAAATATAAGGCACCTGGGTCTAAGCCCAGACCAGCTGAATCTGAATTTCAGGGATGGGACCAGGATGGTTTTTAAAAGCTTCCCAGGTGAGGCTGTTGCGGAGTGAGGTTGGCAGTCACTAGGTAGCTCCCTTGTACTTCTAAACTCAACCTTAAACCTCTCAAACTTTTACTGTGGGTCCTCACTTGATGGTTTCATATTAATCTCTGTGGTTGAAATGGTAACATTAGGTCAAGGCTGTGTAATTGCAAAGCTTGAATTATTTTAAGCTGCCTTAAAATCAGTGTTTTTCATTCAGCCCTTCTAGGAGAACAGAAGGATGGCATGATGTACAAGTACTGTAATCCATAGTATTTGGAAATTGCCAGTCAGTTAAATGACTCAGTTTCTTACGCTGAAAAGTTTCCTTCTACCTCATGGCTTGTTACTAACATGATTAGGTGAAGAACACGATCTTTAAAGAGACATTGATATACTCGCTATGAGGGACAAAGACACCAGTTTCTAGAGTCAGTATCAAGTCTGTATCTGATATAACTTCATATCCCAACTTAGAAATGGAAGTGTTCAAGAGTGTTAGCTTATTTAGGTATTTACCTCCATGTTGCTAAATAACATGCTTATATTACTTTATTGATATTTCAGTTTTAGACATTATCTATTGGTCTTCTAAGGAAGATGAGGATTTCACTTCTTCCTTTTTCTGTCACTACCATACATGTGCACCCTTCTTTCATCTCCCCCTCTTTCCAATTTAGTTAAATCATAATTTTCGTTGGCTGTGTAGGATGCTATAATTGCTTTTCCTTTTCTGCCCAATTTTTTTTTTTTTTTTTTTTTTGAGACAGAGTCTCACTGTGTTGCCCTGGCTAGAGTGCCGTGGCGTCATCCTAGCTCACAGCAACCTCAAACTCCTGGGCTCAAGCGATCCTCCTGCCTCAGCCTCCCGAGTAGCTGGGACTACAGGCATGCGCCACCATGCCCGGCTAATTTTTTTTCTATATATTTTTAGTTGTCCAATTAATTTCTTTCTATTTTTGGTAGAGACGGGGTCTCACTCTTGCTCAGGCTGGTTTCGAACTCCTGAGCTCAAACAATCCGCCCGCCTCGGCCTCCCAGAGAGCTAGGATTACAGGCGTGAGCCACCACGCCCGGCCCTGCCCAATTTTTTATTTTCCCTATTACTAATAGTTACCTTATTTTTTCTTTACCATTGGTTCAATCCGAAAAGCCGTTCAGACATACTGAGTCATCTATCAGTTATATCTTTGTAGAAGCTTCTCCTGGAGCCTCTATCTGCTTTAGTCCGAACTAGTTGCCGTCTAGTCTTAGAACACAGTTGACATATTGCCTTCTTCTTTCACTCATCCTATTTCCTTTGCCTTTTTCCTGTATTGGACAGTCTGTGTCTTGAACCCCATGGTTCCTGTTTCTTGGTTTACTTCCTCATTTTGGTGGAGCACATTCTCTGGTAGTTTCCTAAGAGAGGGCTCATGGAAGTTAAGTTCATTGAGACCTTGCTTCTCCGAAGATGTTTTTAATCTGTCTTCACATTTGAACCATATTTTCCATATAGAATTGTGAGTTAGAGGACATTTTCCCTCAGAATTTTGAAGTCTTCTAGCTTCTGGTGTTGCTATTGAGAATTCCTAAGCATTCTCATAGCTGGACCGCTTTACCCATGAGCGGTCCATTCTGGAAGCTTGTCCTGGTGTTCCAAAATTTCATGATGATATTTCTTGGGACTAGTTATCTATTCTGATGGATGGTTGATATGCCCTTTCTGGTTTGTTTTGTTTTGTTTTGAGGCAGAGTCTCACTCCATTGCCCAGGCATCATCATAGCTCACAGCAACTTCAAACTCCTGGGCTCAGCGATCCTCCTGCCTCAGCCTCCTGAGTAGCTGAGACCACAGGCATGCGCCACCACATCCAGCTGAATTTTTTTTTTTTTTTTTTTTTTTTGTAAAGTTGAGGTCTCGCTATGTTGCCCAGGCTTGTCTCAAACTCCTGGGCTCGAATGATCCTCTCACCTCGGCCTCCCAGAGTGCTGGGATAGTAGGTATGAGCCACCACACCCAGCCTGATGGGTCCTTTCAATCCAGAATGTCATGCTCTTCTGTTGTGAAAAAGTTTCTTAAATTGTTTCATTAACAATATTTGTTTTCTTTCTATAACTTGTTATTCAGATATTAGACATCCTCTTCAATTTCTATCGTTTATCTTTTTTCATCTCTGTTAACTATAGTAAAATTTCTTTTAAAATTCTTATTGTGGTTTCAGAAAGTTCCATCTCTATAGTTTCTTATCCAAGTTTTCTTCTTACTGCATCATCCCACTTTCCTCCATGTTGATTTTTTCTGTTTTGTTTGTTCTCTGTCTATCCTGTTAGAGGCTTTCCTTAGATGTCAGGTAAGTCTTGGTTACCTGCTGATAATTCAGAATAGGAGATTAAAATGTCCATTGATGTTCCACGTGTGTAGGTAGGAGATGTGAGCTCCACGGTAGGCTGAGCTGCCTGGGCTGGTTAGTAGGGGGCCCATGTCAGTATCTATTTCGATCTTTCCTCTCAGGTTGGTTGGGTTTCCCGTGGAGGGAAAAAGGAGAAAAGAGCTAAGTCTCTGCAACGTCAGTTAGTGTAGTTCACTGAACTCTGCTGTTATCCATGGTGGCCCTGCTCTCAGCTGTGCCTGAGATCTGCAGTCCAGAGCCCTCTGTTACCTCCCCAGGAACCACATCTCTAGTTGGCTGCCGGGTCAGGGGAGCAGTCACCCCCCTGCAGGGCAGGAATCTAGACAATCCGCTACTTTAACAGACTTTCAACCCATCTCATTCTAGCATCTCCTTCTCATCCCCACTTCCAGAGCCACCTCGGGATTCTGTTGTGGGATCTCGATGGTTCTTGTCCTAGGATAGCCAGCTTAGGATTCGATTTTCTTGGGTCTGCTAAATCATTAAGCATTTATTCATCTGCCTTCCGGCTTTTAAAATTCTTTTGCTGTGCTTCCCTTTTTCTTTTTCCCCCTTCATTTGGGTTTGAGCTTGAAAACAAAATGCACCAACATCACCAACAAAACCTTTGACATTTTAGTATGGTTTTTGGGAAGGAGTGAAACCATATCCACATGTTCAAGTCCTCATCTTTATCCAGAGATCATTACTCTGAATTCAAAGACAAAAGGGAGTGAGCATAAGCAAATAGGAAGAAATGTTCAATTATGAGCAATTAGGAAGGGCAAATTTGCGAGGAGAGTGATGGATTCTCTGTAAATAGTGGGGGAAAGCAGCATGTAACTCCGAAAGTTGTAAGTGAAATTTAACTGGGCCATGGGAATGGGTAGATGGGAATTATTCTTTGGCTTTGTCTGTTAAAACAAAAAAGAATCCTTAGTGCATTCAGATTCATAGTTGTCTCATAGCTGCCGACAGCGGCTCTAACAAATCCATGATGCTGGTGACAGGAATGACTGGGTGAGTGGTGAGAGCTCTCTGACCCCTGCCTTCTGTCACCCTTTTCTCTTTTGAGCTGCAGCCTGACGGAGTGGAGCAAGTCCTGGCTCCAAATACTGGCTCTGCCCCTTGCTAACTGTGTGGCCTCGGGCAAGTCAGGACCTCTGTGGTTGTCCTCCTCAGCTGTAAAATGGGTAATATGACCTCTGTATAAGATGGTGGCAAGGATGTATAGTGTCTGGCACTTAATAAATGGAAATCGTTACTATCATTGTTATTCCTTTTCCTACTAGCCAAACGTGGGCATACCCCAAGGGTCTGTCCTAAATTTCCTTATTATAACTACTCTGGTCTGTTGCATACGGCACCCAGTCGAGACTTTGAGCCTG